GACAAAACCTAATAATTACTATTTCTTTTCCACAAGTACAAAATAACCATAACAGTCTAAACCACGGGTGTCAAACTCACTGCGTCGGGTGACATTTCACGACATTTTTCCCCTTCATGGAGATGGTGTGGGTATGACCTGCGTATGACGTATCTAGCCCATGGGCAACTAGTTTGACAACCGTGGACCAGTGGTGGGATTCAAATTTTTTTTACTACCGGTTCTGTGGGCATGGCTTGGTGGGTGTGGCAGGGGAAGGAAGATGTAAAATCTCCAGTCAGAGGTGGTATTCGCCAGTTCTCCGAACTACTCAAAATTTCCGCTACCGGTTCTCTAGAACTGGTCAGAACCTGCTGAATGCCACCTCTGTCATGGACCATCACTCTACACAATGACTGTATCCTTCTTAATGCTTGGCATGATGAAGTTCTGAGGAGCTTAAAAGTTTACACTATTCATTGTTTTTTTAATATTCATAAAGGTAATGCCCACCTGAGAATACAAAAACACAAGTCATTCTACAATCTCACAGCAGGTGGCAGAACTTAGTCAAAGTTGACTGATCTTCAAAAAGGAGGGCTGGGCCTAGTGAGTAGTAGAATGGAAGACTGCCAGGAAATCCCAGGTTTGGGGTGGAAGGTTAAAAAAAAGTCCTGAAAGAAACAAACAGCAAACTGCTTTTGTACCATTGCCAAGAAAGCTCTATGGGTGTGTTCATGAAGATATCAGGAGACATGTTTGAGTCTTTACCTTTTCTGAGTGTCTCAGAAGTAACAGGTCAATGGGGAAAAGCAGTACGAGGTAAAAATGTATTTTATTTGGGACATTGTCCTAGTTGCTTTCGGAATATCTTGGCTTCAGTTTTTCATAAATAAATCATATTCATGCTAAATTGGAAACCAAATGGACATAGTCTATTAAGATGGTCAAGTTGATGCCTGCTGGGCTTATCTGGGAGGTTTTTGAGCTGTAGATCCCACATAAGAGTCCTGTCACTATGGCTCTGTCATTTGTGGATTGGACTCCTGCCCCACTAGGCTAATAAAGGTGACAAGAAGAAAATTATATTATCAGGCTTTAATCAATGCCTTTTTGAGGGACAATGACATGCCATTAAAAAGACCTCAAGTGGTTGTATCCAATAAAATGGGACAACCACTATCCTAAGTCTGTCTTTTTGGGGGGAAAGTTAATCAATAAGTGATGAAGCTGTATGTGCAGAAAGCTCTGAAGAATAAATATAATCTGGTCACTTGGCAACCTGGGTTCAGGCCTGGCTATCATATGGAAACTGCATCGGTAACTTTCATGGATGACCAGTAAAAGGTCTTGGATGTGAGTGGTTTAACCATCGCGCTCCTCCTAGATCACTCAGTGGCCCTCAATACTATCAATCACAGGTATCCTTCTGGACTACAAGAGTTAGAACAGCATTTCACTTCTACCTGAACAAATGAATTCAAATGATTATTGGAGGAAGGAAGTTTAATCCACAGATAACTTGTTATGGACCTCAGGATTCAGTCATTTTTGTTATTCTGGTATATGTGAAACCACCGGGAGAGGTCATTGGCTGGTTTGAGGTACCATCAATATGTAGATGACATCCAATCATGCATTTCTATCGAAGGCCCATTGTGAAATACAGTAGAAATCGCAAGTGTTAGGAGACTTTCAGGATGGGGAAAAACAGTCTCAATCTGAACAAAATGGAATGGCTGTTGACTCAGAGTCTGATTCCAAAACTACACTATGCTTAATTCTTAATGGGATTGTGCTTCTCCACAAAAAAAGCAGACTCACAATCTGAAAGTCTTCCAGCACTCACTCTTGCTCATAGAAGAGAAGGCAATTGCACCCAGAATGTCTTTTGCAGTTTTGTATGGTACACCAGTTGTGGCCTTATCTATAATAGGATACCTTATCATCTCTAGATTGCTGTAACACACTCCACATGAGGCTGCCCAACACCTGGAAACTTCAGATAGTCCAGAACAGTGGCAGTGGTCAGTCATAATATGGCCATATTACATCCCTCGTGCAGAAGATGCCTGGTTACCAAGAGGTTTGTGAACGTAGTTCAAATTGCTTTGTAAGAAATTAGATCAGTACCTATAAAGCCCTATATGGCTCAGGGTCTTGGTAACTTATAAACCACAATTTCCTTATAGTTTTTACTCTATACCTAAAGTTAGAGAACTGCTAAAAGTCCCCATCAATTGGGCAGGGGGGGCACAGTTGCAGGCATTTGTTATAGTAGCTTACAATAGCTTGCCCTGAGGTAAAGGATGGCCCTTTAGCCTTCCAGAAGCAGGTGAACACATGGCTGTTGTGGCAGGCTTTAGGGAATTAATTATATGCAGCAGTGCCAAATTCAATACATTTTAGCTTTTTATTTTTAGTGTTAATTTAAAATGTGATTTAATTAGATTACTGCTTTAATTATACTGACTTTACTGCATTTTATAAGTAAACTCTGCATACTGCCTTTAGAGTCCTTTTGGTTTTAGGCAGTAGGCAAATCTCATTATTAAATTTAAAAAACTATTCATATATGCAAAGATTAAATGAAAAACAATTAAGCCAAAAGAAATTTTGAGTAAAAAAAAAGCCTTTTTAGTAGTTAACAGAATAACAGTTGAAAGGGACCTGGGAGGTCTTCTAGTCCAACCCCCTGCTCAAGCAAAACCTATACCATTTCAGACAAATGGTTATCTAGTCTCTTTTTAAAAGCCTCCAGTGATGGAGCACCCACCACCCCTGAAGGCAAGCTGTTCCACTGGTTAATTGTTCTCGCCGTTAGAAAGATTCTCCTTAATTCCAGGTTGCTTCTCTCTTTGATCAGTTTCCATCCATTGTTTCTTGTCTTGCCTTCTGGTGCTTTGGAAAATAGCTTGACCCCTACTTCTTTGTGGCAGTCTCTCACATATTGGAACATGGTCTCATGCAAACCCCCTAGTCCTTCTTTTCACTAGACTAGTCATAACCAATTCTTGCAACCACTCATGTGTTTTAGTCTCCAGGCCCCTAATCATCTTTGTTGCTCCTCTTTGCACTTTTTCCAGAGTCTCAACATCTTTTTTTTAATAATGTGGTGACCAAAACTGAATCCAGTATTCTAGGTGTGGTCTTACTAAGGCTTTATAGAGTGGTATGAGTACCTCACTTGATCGTATCCTGTTAATGCAATTTAGGATTGCATTGGCTTTTTTTGGCTGCTGCCACACACTGCTGGCTTATATTTAAGTGACTGTCCACTAGGACTTCAAGATCCCTCTCATAGTTACTGCTTTTGAGCAAGGTTTCACCTACTCTCTACCTATATATTTGGTTTTTCTTACGCTGAATTTTCTCTACGCTGAATTTAATTTTGCTGTATGCTCAATGCTTTGAGCATTGCCCAATGCTCAAGTCTGTTAAGATCCATCTGGATCTTGAGCCTATCATCTGGGGTGTTGGTTATTCCTGCCAGTTTAATGCTGTCTGCAAATAATATTGAATCCAAACAAACTGGATTCATCACCTTTAATCTTGAAACTTGAATCCAAATAAAGTGGATTCATTAAGTTTTGTTGACAGGTAGATCTGTCACTGCTAATTACCTAGACTGAGTTTTTTTGTATGGAATTGTTCTTTGAAATGAGTTCTATACATTTTATCAGATAACTTTACATATACAAGGCATAACAAACACCACAAAAACAATCTGTTCAGAGCAGATATTAAAATTTTAATACTGTAAGGTTTACCTTCCAGGGAATCCTGGTAATATTAGCAAAAATATACATTCAGGCTCATTGCCACTTGGAACCCTTAAGGCTTTTCCCCACCTGCACCTACCTATGACAAAAAACAACCTTGCAAGATTTTTTTTCTGCCGCATCTCCACAACACTTTCATTTCATTTCATGAGACAAGGTTAAACCATACTTAGCTACTAAAACAGTACTATAGCTTCTGACATCATCCAAGGATATTCTTGTTCTTGAAATATATAAAATTAGTTAGGGGGCTGAGACACTGGCTGGGAACAGATGCAACTAGGAATAGCAATGGGAATCAAGAAATGTCAGGGGAGTACTGGATAATTTGTTTTTTTGCCAATCTAAGAATAAGTGAAGAACACTACCGTATTAAGTCTGTAGAGATTCTCAGTCATCCAGGTCATGGTTGCCCCAAAGCTACTTTTTCAGGAGGTAACGGGACTTTCTTGGTTTTTCTTTTGAAGACGTTCTCGTCCAAAGAGCTTCTTCAGCTCTGAACTAAAGAGCTGAAGCAGCTTCTTGGATGAGAAGCAAAACATCTTCAAAAGAAAAAAACCCAAGAAAGTCCAGTTGCCTCCTGAAAAAGCACATTTGGGACTACCTATTAATAGATATGGCCCTTAGTAACAACCAGCCATGTGGACAGGAGACACATTTTCAATGTCTGCTCCACCTCAGGAATATCTGTGTGTGCTATTTTGACACAAATTACTACTCCTAGTGGGCTATTTTATATTGACCCAATTTAACAGAATAAGAGAGTTGGAAGGGAACTTGTAGGTCATCTAATCCAACCCCCACCCCACCCCCAAAGCAGACCCTACACTATTTCTAATTTCTCAGAACGGTTTTGATATCAGGAGTTAATTACAGCTTTATAGTGCATGGTGGGCTTTCTTGACCGATTATTAACACCATTTTTCTTTCCACCAGAGGGACACTTTTGAAAGTGGTATATGATTTTTTTCGGTAAAATCCGTGAGAAGTTAAAAAGACACGTGGCGCCAAGGGAGATATGCATTCTCTCTAATTTCGCTTTCCAACAGCCTAGATCTGCAACTGCTGAGAGCGCCGAGAAGCGCTTTCTTCCATCTAGTACTTCAGCGAAATTTGTAGAAGACGACGACCAGCCAGGATGTGTCGGAGCGACAACGAGAACTCACCATCTTAAATTACCCGAAATGCTCTACCCGCCCTAGAAGCGTGTGGTATTTTGGGTAGCTTAAGATGGCGGGCGAGAGGGATGTTTAAAAATGGTGGCGAGCCCACCCACCCCCTCCCCCAGCCTCAGAAGCCTTTTCGCTTGTGAGGCGAGTGTGTACGAGGGGAGCCACCGATCGGCGTTTGTTCAGTTCAGAGACTCAAGATTTATAACCTCATCCATCTAAAGCCGCCCCGGGGAATGGCTCCGAACGCCTGGTTTGGAACTGGCGTTAAAGCTCCGGGAGTTCTCAACCCGGTTCCGGCGTTCTTGAACCTTAGGGCAGGCTTGTCGACGGGCAGATGATCCTCGCCAACTGCTAGGATGTAGGGGAATGTCCGCGGCTCGAAAGCTCGTTGAGTTCGCTCAGCGCCTTTCGCTCAAAAGACCCTCGCGGGGCTCCCTTTGCACGCTACTCAAGCTGCGGAGGCGAAATAAAGTATATCTGGGGTTTTGGTTGTTTTTTTTTTTGCAAACGCCAGGATTTCTGTGCCATCTGCAGCAAAAGCTCTAGTGCCGCTCTCTGCTACCAGGCCCCTCTGTAAGTCCAGCAACGCGCAGAAAGTGAAGAACTGCAAAGATTTGCGGGAGGGGATGTGTGGGGCTGTATGCATATGGGTATTGGGAATTGGATGAAAAATGTCCAAATTATGAAAGAAATCTCCTCTTGAGGTTCACATATAGCTGAAAATATTTATGCAATAATCGCCCTCATTTGGTGTAAGTGCTGGAGACGCTAAAGTCTTCCAGATTTTAACGTAGGGGCGAATCTCACTACTGTAATTCAGCTCATTGGAGATGTGGATGAAAGCCTTGCCATTTTGAGCAGGTCTTTAAAGGACAGATACCTTATGCATGATTATAATCAAATCTTTCCAGAAATATATTTTGCTGCTTTTCTTCTGAATGAAAACCGTTCATAGGATATTTTCAGCAGCGTTTTGGTGTTTTTCTAAGCAAACGAGAAAATCCTGGAACAAGCAATTACTATATTCTGGCTGCATTCCTTTGCAAGAAAGCATTATGTTTGCTGCCCCTGCAGCATTTGACATAGCTATAGCCGTGATCCAGGTGCCTGGCACAGATGGACTAAGTAATTTGACAGAAATCGGCCTCATGATGGTGGTTAGCAAAGCTAGTTAATTGTTCAAGACTGATCAGTTGCTTATTCCCTGCTTACCTAGCTATCCACCATGTTCACATAATTTTTTTTCAGAAGGAATGGGCATAGCAGCCACACATAACAAAGAGGAGCCAATACGTTTGGTTGAATTTGTATTCTTTCTTTCATATTTTGTTTGTGATGTTACTATTTTCAGGTATCCCTTTTCTGTGTTTAAATGACACCTACCTGGGTGTGTAATACATTATTACTGAAGCAAAAATTACGGCATATTGTACTATTTCACTGCTTTGAGTCTCGTTTTTTCTGATCTAATGAATTGTGGGAAATGTAGTCTTTCTGTGTACAGGAAGTGAATATATATATATATATATTCGTTTGATAAACTAGGGGGTGTCGGGATCCGTAGTAAACTCTTGGGTGTGGTGCATGTTGGGATCTGCAGTCATTTTGGAGGGAGGGCTTGCTGCAGAAAGATCTTCCCTCCTCCGGTTGTTCCCGGTGTGGGGAGGAGCCTGGTCGGTGAGTGGTTAGAAAAGGGGAGATGTAGTGGGTTTTGTTTTTTGCTGCTTTTGCCAGATAGCTAAATTGTCAGGAAGAACTGATTGAGAGGAAAATGCATTTCCCACCTTTTTCTTTTTCTTATGTGATTGGCTTCAGTTTGCCCCCCTCCCCCGCGTCCAAACTATTCATTTTATCTGGGTTTAGGTAAGGCATTTTTCAGTTAATCATATTACTCTGTTTCCATCCTCAGAGGTTGGGCCAGCCTATGTATGGTATTACTTTCACTGTATGTGGGATGATTTTATTGTCTTAACTGCAAGCCTAGTGTCAGCTTTCAGAGAGGGGGGGGGACAAATAGGATGGCAGCAGACTTCTGTGATTTAGGTCACAGCCATTGGGGCCTGGTGATGCAGATACTCTTGTCCATTTTGTGCCCCTTTCCTGACTTGCTTTCCATTGGTGCCCTTGCCCCAAGTAAGGAGTTGAAGACAGCAGCAGTCCTTTCAAAATAAGCTTCGGTTTGCTCTAGTTTTTCATCCCTAGAATGAAATACCTGAGCGTGCTGCTGCAGCCAAGAACATGTTGATAGTGAAGAGAAAGATAATGCATAATTGGAGCAGGAAAGCACAGAACAGCAATGGCAATCTTGGGCCTTTGCACAGCTGTCTATACATGATTTTCATTTCTGCCAGACCTGCTTCCATTAATTCATTTGCTTTACTCTGGGTCCCAGTGAAATTTCTATTCAAAACTCTGGAATGCTGTGAAGTTTCTCTAGGCATTTTGTAAAATGCTGAAGCAAATACTTCTCTTGATAGGAGGATACTTGCCTAGGCACAAAGATGCCAATCATGCCGTTGCAAAACATGCCCCAGTAATTTATCCCTCATCAAACATTTTTATTTCCCAGAATGTCTCTTTCAGGAAGACTTCCAATGCAGCACTGTCATTGCACCAACTGAGAGCTGTCAATGGAAAAATGTTTTCAGCTCTTCATATAATTTCCAGCAAAGAGATTCCTTTGGGTACATTGGCTGTGGAATTGATGGAAATTTAACATCTGATTTTCAGTCTCCATGTGCACCTTGGATGTTTACCATAAAAAAAAGCACCCTTCCCCCTTACTATTTCATTGCAGTGCTGTTTTATCTAGAGCCGGATGTATGATAAATCTACCGGTAGTAATGTACAGTAACATTGGGAGAACTGTTACATAAGTTCTGAGAGGGTGGAGTTTGTGGTATTTGAGCAGAAAAAAAAAAATGCCTTTTGGGCCTGTCAGTGGAACTGGTTGGACCAGTCAGCAATCTTCTTGACCTGTTGACATTTCCTGATTGTATTTCCTCAATCCTTCTGGAGGAGGAGTTCAGCTTTGCCACCTGTTGCATTCTGTTAATAAAGTTTCTTCCCTGAGGTTCCAACAAGATATGATTCTGGAGCGATCAAACAGGTCTGTCGGGGTATTAATTTCTACTCAGTATAATGAAAAGAATAGGGGATATTTCCTAGTGGTAGGAGAAGTATTAAAGTTTTCTGAAAGAGCATGTAGAAACTTTGGTGGTGACTGCTGGCCACAGCCATGGAGCTTACTCATTGATAAGGAGAAGAAAATTGGATTGAAAAAAATGCTGGATGTGAAGGGATGTGTGTTACATAACTTCAGCCCACTACCTTTTATATTCCCATTTGCCACCTTCTAGCACCATTTTGTTTGGGGTTGAAATTTCACTTTTAATTAGTTTAGTGGCAAAGGTTTAACTGATTATTATGAGTTTATTTTAATTGAGAACAAATTCTGTGAGTTGGGATCACTTTGTAAGTATACCGCTCTTTGCTATTTTGGTCTTATGTTTAGCTTTAAAGATATCATTATCTTCAAGCAGCGTAGGATAATTTTGTGTGTGAACAGCCTCTGTGGCAAAGGATTTGGACTTAACTTGGGTAAAACTTAATGAATGGCCTTGGTCAGGTCATGTCGTTTATCCTGACCTACCTCATGGAGGTGTTTTTTCCTAATAAAATGGAAGATGGTACTAATGCTATCCTGACCACCTTGGAAGAAAGGCAGATTAATAGATTGTAAGCTATTTTATTTTAACAAAACACATTTAATAAGGTTTTAAATCTATACTATGTTAACCAATTCATGATTAAACAGAAATCCATTAACCACAAAAAATGCCTTAATCATTTGGCAGTTCTGCTTTCTATGTGTAAGTTTCTCATATGCAATTTCCTCCAGCTCCATCAGGTATCCAAGTCACGTATTTCTTGGAAGGATCATAGCCTACTTAGTCTTGTTTCCTGTTCCACTGCAGAATTTCTCAGTTAGTTGTCTGATATTTCTATTATACTGTTGCAGCTTTTTTTGTATCTTCCTTGTTTTTTTCCTTGTCCTTCTCCCATAGACATGGACAATTACCACAGTACTCAATTGGTGTGTTCATTATCCCCATCCTTTCATGTTTTCTTTCTAAGGTTCCCAGGAACCTCAGGCTGATGCCCATCTCAGCTCGTCCACGCCTGCAATGGGATGATACTCTGAATCCCTTGAGGATTAGTGTGGGCAGTCTTCCAGTCCTGGCGTCCATGACCAAGGCAGCTGACCCCCGTTTCCGCCTGCGTTGGAAGGCCATTGTGGTGACCACTCTGGTCCTTGTCGTAGTGTTGCTTCTCCTTTGTTTCCAGCGTTCATCCCCTGTGAACAGGGCAGTTCCTCCCAATGCTCATACCTGGAGGCTTAATGTTCTATCCAGTGAGAGATATAATGACACTTACCCACTGTCACCACCCCAGCGGATCCCAGAAGGTGTGCGGTACCGTATTGGACTCATTGCTGACCTTGACACAAACTCCAAGGGTCCCAGTGAGCACACCTGGTTCAGCTACTTGAAGAAGGGTTATCTCACATTGTCAGCCAGTGGGGACCATGTCTCTGTTGAGTGGGATACGAAGGACCATATATTGGAATCTCACCTAGCGGAAAAAGGACGTGGCATGGAGCTTTCTGAACTGGTAGTCTTTAATGGTAAACTCTATGCCGTGGATGATCGAACAGGTGTGGTCTACCAGATTGATGACACCAGGGTAGTACCTTGGGTGATATTATCTGATGGAGATGGAACAATTGACAAAGGTGAGCTCAGGTTTAAGTTCTAGGTTTTATATTGGAAGGTTCCCTAACCTTCGTGTAGTTCCTCAGTTTCTTAATGCCACCAAAAACCTTTAAGAATTCTCTAAATACCATGCCTCCTTTTATCGAATTTACTAACAAACATTCTGTTACATTGTCTAGTAGAGGTGAAACTTCTTTAGAGGTAAAAGAAACATTTATTTTAAAATTAGTCTGCCTTTTGGCCTAAAATCAACCCACCCCCCAATCTTCAAAATTTTTAAAAATGAAATATACTATAAAAGCAAGGGGGAAAAAAATAAGAATATAACATTTGAAGTGCTTTTGATTTGGAATTTTTGGTTGTGCTTTTAATACATTAAAATAATATTGAAATATTTATATTAAAGAATGTTATAGCACTGTTCATGCAGCTGTAATGCTTTTTCCATTATCAAGTTTGTTAAAATAATGGTCAGTGGGAACTTCTGTTTCCATTTTATATACATGCATGCACATCTCAATGGAAGAGTGTTATAGCATGTTATATTAAATTATTTAGCATGTCTTGTTTCTCACATCTTTAATGATTCAGGGCAGTTTATAAAAATACCATTAAAACTGCAAAAAGAAAAAGATGGGACAGTTTTCCGGTATTATGATGTCTGTTGTAAAACGTTGAAAGAATTATTGAGCTGCTGTAGATATGTTTTATAAATTATTACCTATGTCAAGATCATAATCCATATAAAAATCATGACAATAAGACATTTTTATCTGCAGAATATAATAACGTAAATCAGCAGTTCTCAAACATTTTGCTCTTAGGACCCTTTTATAGTTAGTCCCTGAGTTATAACTGTAACAGAGTCTGCCTATTATGGTTGTAAATCATAATGGTTGTAAATTGGATTGGTCACGTGACCAACCCAAGTTTTTTACAGGAGTCATTAAGCGAATGCCATAGTTGTTAACTGAACTCATGGTTTGCTATGGGCTGGATTTGCTGAAAACCAGAAGTAAATGTCCATTTTCAGGAAAACCATTGTAAAACCTGGTCATGTGACTGCAGAATGCTACAAATGGCCATAAAATGGCCCAAAGTGCAGCCATATGACTACGGTGGGGGGTGGGGGCAACTATCAGAACTTCAAATCTGGGTTGTAAGTACCCCACCAAGTAGGTCTGTCATAACTTTGAATGGTTGCTAAGTGACCGGTTGTAAGTGACCGGTTGTAAGTTGAAGTTTACTATAAATTCTTAAAAATAATTGAGGACACCAAAGTTTTGATTTATGTACTTTATATCTATTGCTATTTATACTGTGTTACAAATTAAAACTGAGAAATTTTAAAATAATTTATTTGATCTTGTGGGCCCCCGAAACGTCTGATATAAAGATACAGAAACAGCAGCAGATAGTTTGCTACACTTGTAACTTGCATTGGAAGCACAAAGAGTTATTAATATCAGAGACTGTCTGGAAGCACCTGACAAATAAGAGACAGGCTGCTGGTGGTAGAGGAGGCAAGTTTATGTTGAAGAAAATAATTCTTAAGGTAATTTGGTCAAATTGTCTCAAAGGTGCTTTTTCCAAAAGGCAACTGGACCTTCTTGGGGTTTTTTTGTTTGAAAATGTTTCACTTCTCATACAAGAAGCTTCTTCAGTTGTAAATGACTGATGGGGAATGGAAAGATTCAGAAGCGAAATATTTTTGAAACAAAACAAAAAACAAAGCCCAGTTGCCTTTTGGAAAAAGTACCTTTGGGACAATCGTGACTTGGATGTTTGAGAATCTCCGTAAACATTTGGTCAATCTGTATTTTACTCATGCTTTGAACAAAATCCTGAGAAGTTTTAATTTTTCTCTTAAAGATCAGACAGACCCTTTTCAACCTACTGGGGAAATTGGCGCCTGTCTTAAGGGACCTTTCTGGAGGGGTAGTCCAGATTGGATAAGTGTTGCCTTACTTACTTGTCTCACATTTTGTTCAGGATTTAAGGCAGAATGGTTGGCAGTGAAGGATGAGCACCTCTATGTGGGGGGCCTGGGCAAGGAATGGACCACAACTACAGGAGAGGTGCTCAATCAAAATCCAGAATGGGTGAAAGTCATTGGATACAAAGGTGACGTGGCTCATGAGAACTGGGTGGCCAATTACAATGCACTCCGGACTGCAGCTGGGATCAAATCTCCAGGTGAGCAATGGACTAGCTTCTGTGAACAATATAATAAACCTGCCAACAGCTGAATACTTGCATAACTCTGCTTCTGATACTTCCTTTCTTGTGAAATGAAGGCTTATACACACTTAATTGTTGGAATTAAAAAGTCAAAGAGGATTTGGATTTTTAAGGATGAAAAGTATGAGTGTCCTTAAGAGAAGGCGAGTATAATATCTGTTCTTATGCTGGCTATGATTTACCCAGATCAAGGCCTATAAAGTGTCTACCATCATTGTTTAATCTTGTAATATTATGGTTCTTCTTCCTTAGAACTTTGTCAGCTTGTGTTGTGTTGTTTTCCTGCTTGAACGGAGAGTTGCACTAGAAGACTTATTTCTTTAGAAAATTTATATCGCCCCCTACTCACACGTAGCGACTCAAGGCGGCTTACCAGGATATAAAAACACCATGTAAAAGAAATAAAAAGAAAAGGAATAATAACTCCCCCCCCAACCCTGGCAACGATACCCATTCATACTAGAAGGGGCTCCATCTAAGATCCCTTCCAATTCTGCTTTTTCTGTAAGTCTGTCTTGTTATACTTGAGGATATCTATCTTGGCTCTATATGCTCCCCAGGTTACTTGATCCATGAGTCTGCCTCTTGGAGCGAGAGACTGCAGCATTGGTTCTTCTTGCCACGCCGTGCCAGCCATGGGCGCTACAATGAGCAGGAGGATGAGCATCGGGGCACCAACTTGCTTCTTAGTTCCACACCAGACTTCACTGATATCTCTGTGAGCCATATTGGTGACATCATTCCCACCCACGGCTTCTCCTCCTTCAAGTTTGTCCCTGACACTGATGATCAGATCATTGTGGCCTTGAAATCTGAAGAGGACGCTGGACATGTGGCCACCTATATCACTGCCTTCATGCTGGATGGACGTTGCCTGTTACCCGAAACTCGCATTGGTTCCATCAAATATGAGGGTATTGAGTTTATCTAATTAAAAAGGTTTTATCTAATTGAAAGAAGTCACACTTTTAAGGAGGTCAGATGAACTGCTGAGAGGTGGCATGAGTTCTATTCCCATTTATTACTCTGCTTTCGCTGCAGAGCATTATGGGACATTGAAATGCTTCTCTTGGCATAGTTTTCGCCTCTGTAAAAACTACTTGGCAATTGTAGCTTTTTTCTGTGCTGACCCCTAGTGGTACAAAGCCTGTACAGCTTTTTTTTTTCCTCTGTTCTATAGCATCCTAGGATTTAGCCCACTCTCCTTTGTTCAACCAGGCTATTAATTTGGCAGAGCAAACCTGATGAATTGCCTTATTCTTCCATCCTCCCCTCCTGCCCCCTGTCTATTCACACGTGCCTTTGCTGAGAAGAGAAAGTCTTCAAACCCAGTTAATTCAGCAAAGATGTTAGTCAAACATTTGGAAGGCTTCCCTTTGACTCTGGCTATCCCTGCAAGAGTCATTTTCACCTTGTCTGCACAGATACCTCTTTTTGATAGGAAATTGCAGATGAGACTTTGGCCTCTAATCAGGGAAATTTGTGATAACAGCAGAAAAGGCGCTGATGCCATGATTTAGAACTTTTGGGAACAAAAGGCTCATCTTCTGTTTTGAAAGGTTCGGTTCTGCCTTTGTGTCTAAAAAGGCAAAGCGTTTCTTTTTGGTAATCTTAATATTGAGAAATATAGAGAGAGAAGATGAGACTTTTGTTCCAAAAAGTTCCAAGTTATGGCATCAGCATATATACATGACATAGTTTTCCGTGATCCTTCATTTTTAAAAAACGCACTGTTTTCAGTGTTAGGAAACAAGATCTTATGAAAATATTGTAGCTGGAATCGGGTTCTAAAGTTATTCTAGCAGCAGGATTTTAAGTATTCATCGTTCCTCCTTTATGTGTAATAAAATGGGCAAGTGAGCTTACTTCGTTTCCAATGTCTTCCTCATTGTTGGTCATTTTCTGGAAGTCTTATTTCAATCCTAGCATTCTGTCTTATTTTTCAGATAAATTATCAACAGCGTTTATATTTGAAAGTTACCTGAACTAACCTATGTTTTATCTATACTTACCTATATTTTTTAATTACCTGAAATGAAAAAAAAAAAAAGTGTTGACAGTCATAATGTCCCAGCTTTTAAGCAGATAAGATAAAAATATATGTTTAAGAAACACAAATATTAAGGAACACCTGTGTAGGAAGGCGAGCTACAGAAACTCCAAAGAAATGTAATGATTTTTTTGGATATGCCAAAATGTATACATTTGAAGGCTGTGCCATAAATGTGTGTGAATATAAAGGAATGTGTTTTATACCAAACCATTGTGCTCATCGTGCTCAATATTCCCTATTCTAACTGATAATTCCCTTTAGAGACTGATGCTAAACTAATTTGCATGCAAAATATGCGCCCTTACCGTTGAACGGCAGTTTCTCTTTCACAGACCATCATATAAAATCAGATGCAATTCTAGTGGGAGATTTATGTAGATGTTCCCCAAACTCTTCCACCCAATACTTTTGGTTTGTATCTTAGAGCATAAACCAGGGGTGTCCAACCTTGGTAACGTTAAGCCTGGAGGACTTCAACTCCCAGAATTCCCCAGCCAGCTTTGCTGGCTGGGGAATTCTGGGAGTTGAAGTCC